TAAGCTTTCTCCAGCTATTCTCGTTGCATGTTTGAAACTGAATTCTACTTTCGCCACAGACATAGCTGAAGCCAACTGAAAGCTGCTGAATACATGGATACATATCACCAGCTCAAGAACTTTCTTTTGCTCTCCTGATTCTGAGAATTCCATCATTCCTCAAGATTCCTTACGATTCCACAGAGAAACAGCCTGTGGTTTGTAGCTGTGATAACTCGCCAAATTGTGGATGGCAGCCTACTATGCTTATTATTAAGGCCACAGAAATATTCTCCACCTTTCATATGGCAGAATACAAATGATACAAACAGCGCGCTTCTGTTCAAGCGATTTCAGTGCTATTCAAATACAGTACTTACGTACGTATGTAGGTTAGCTTCACGATCAGGTCACCGCATTCGGTATGTAGAAGCGTCACAATTTCAATACTGAGTTATTGTGCATGATGTGTAGAATTAATTAAGCATTAATTTTCACTGCGTGTAATTGATATATTCTGGTCCGCTTACATATTCATTCAGAATCACTGGCAGGCATTAAAGACAGTTGACAATATTGATACTATCTTGTGGTGGCGTGAATCGAGGAACATATCAATCAAGCTGGCATTTTATGTCATCAGATTTTAATTGTTTGGATAAATTTTAGTCATCACACTAGCGAATTTGAACATCGCAGTAGCAATGTAAGCCTTGCTGATTTTCACCTGGTGCGCTAAATTAGAAAAAGAACAAAAGGTAAAGTCGATTGTGAATTGGACTAGGCTGGCCAAAATATCAAAACATCCGATGATTAGATATGCAAAAGGGGAGCAACCCATTGATCTAAGCGTTTGCACTTGGGACAGTTGAATGTCACTACAATGATGACCAGCTGCGTGGCACTTCGGAACCAGGCCAAGGAAGGTGGAGCACTTTACGTCCATGTGAGTCCTTCGGATTCTCTATCCGCCGCATTGTCCAAAGGTGGTCAAAATTGTCTTTCAGTGAAGTCTGCCCGCAAATTGAAGAATTATCGAATTAATTCCGTATTGTGCAGCAGAAAAGAGAATGAATTATTGTGAATCACGCAGTGGAACAAAACTAAGTCATGCACTATCCGTCTATTTGAAGATGCCCAACAATGCCCACCACGAGGGTTACAGAGCGTGAGCGCTAAGATAACGCGTTTTCCCACTAAAATTGAAGAAGGGCAGGAAGGGCAGGAAGGGCCCAGAGTGGTCATGTTCAATGTCCGCAACTGGGCCCTTGCCACACATTGTGGCTTTGGCTCGCAGGGTGAAATATCCGGTAACATTCCAGAGAAACACACACTTTGGCAATTGATAGGAGATGCTTGATGGCGTTCAGGAACAGCCTCGGGTGGCCCGACTTTTGCAATTGCCATTCCATGAGATCTTGCTTTTGTCATGAACAAAATGCACCAAAGAAAGCGCACAAAGGGGAGCAATGGCAGCGGTTAGGTGTGCAAGCGAACGTATATTGCTGTGGCAAGCTCATGATCACAGCGGCAGATGGGCAATCGTGCGCAACTTGTATCGGCAGTAAGCAGCAGCCCAGCTGAGCTTGAAGTTGCATTAATAAGAACTTTACTTTCATTTTATTAATGGAAACTTTAATGGGCAAAGTCGGGCGTGCTGCGGAATGTGCAAGGGCAATGGGAGCGGGTAATTCTGCCGTGTTGATTAGGCAGGAAGGGCGATCGGCAGTGCCACGCCGCAGGAGGTGGGGCAATGCCTCAGGCCGAATTAGGAGTTTGGTATGCTGGGCGAAGATTTGGAGTAATGAACAACCAGCCCACAAAGACTTCTGTTGCATTGTGGCTGAGCGCCGTGCAGTGATCTCAAACACGGCTGCAGGGCATCCGAATAGCAGTTAACAATAAATGAGGAACGGGGGTAAGATAGCTTGAAAAGAGTGAGAAATAGGCAACACAAATTGATCCCTCCCACCTCGGTAAATGTATGTGAGGCTCTTTTCCATGCCTTGAAAACATGATCTAGAATTTGCGTTGCGAAATGGTGAGAACGGAACATAAGCAGCACAAAGTGTAGTAGAAAGCAGGTGGGGTGGGGTTGGGGGAAGGGCAGCTGAAATTAGAGTCCATTGAGCACTTAGCGCACTTAAAGCAGCATACTGCCTTCCTGTTGAAATTTCTGCATTTGCCAGAATGTTTGAAAAGACACCGGGGATGGCACAGCAGTTGCGTAGTAATCAGAGGAAGCAACGCTACCTGTCATGCATGTTCTGTTAATACGGATATTATACCCCATTGAGCATTCTCTCAAACTGAGTGGCTTTCCACTGATGTGAGGGAATGGTTGCTTCATTCAAACAATACATACGAATACTGTGTAGCCTTACCACTGGTAGAAAACGGCATGTTTGCGATGCCAACTGTGATGCCATTTTGACACAAAATGATGCCATCACAGTGATTGGGATGGCATAGAAAGTGGCTGTGTGGTCATCAATTTGTGTCAAAATGGCATCGCAAGCATGCTGTTTTCTACTAATGTACAGCCGTCAGAATTGAACTGACACATGAAGCGTGCACAGCAACGTGATCATAGTCATGTTAGTAGCCTGCCAGAGACGAAGTTCCAGAAACGCAGTTTATTCCAAATGGAGAGTCATTCGTGTTCCTTTACCATTGCAGCCGACAACGTCAAGAACGCTGATCGAAAGATGCACGTTTGAGTTGAATGCTGCTAGATTCGCTGGAGGAGCTCTCCTTGTTCTGGTGGGTGTGCGCAGCTGCACGGGCAGTCAAATGTCATCAACGCAGAAACATATCAAATGTATGATGGCGCACTTGCATGCGATCCGAGTGTGAAATTTCTTAAGTCTGTTCTGGGTCTTTGAAATCCAGTTGGTGAATTTGATATTCACTCAAGCAACGTACTGTAGTATATTCACGCAAAATGTAGTGCAAACCTGCAAGGATCATTCTGAAGCGTGCATGCAGTAGGTGTTTTTGATTTGGAGATTGCAGAGGCCTATTCGCGATTGCCGGCGAGAGCAGATTGCGTGCAAACCCAGTATGATGTGTTTTGTTTCCAAGTCGCAAGATTAATTGCAGTAAAAGAGGGAATGCCAAGCCTGAATGCAGTAGATCAGTTTGTGTCAGCGAGGTCAATTGATTGAGCTGTGATGAATGCAAACATGTGTTGGGATATGGAGCTTGAAAGTCTTCAATAGGAGCGGTTGTTTCTGCCCCTCTTGTCGCCCCTATAAACTCATGTAGCAGTGTTATTGACGCCGTCGCTTCGGCAAACAGTGATGCGGGCTTGCTAATCGTGCGACTGCGCTTGGCAGTCGCAAAGGCACTTGCATCGCTGTAGGGAGCGTCCAGTCTGGGAATACATGTATACAGTTACGGTCGTGCTCACGTGCTTCAGCAACACGGGTGGAATGTAGTACTGCTCACTGGCAAATGTGCTCACCGAAGTCACCCTGCCTTGCGCTCGTTGAAGACTTAAACTTGGCAAGCAAGGAAGGGGAGCGAAGAGTGCAGCTGCAAGGGTTGCGCAGCAAAATGCAAGGCAAAATGAAACAACTTTTAAAGGCTTAAACTTAAATTCTGGCCGCAGTGTTACAAGTGATTTAGTTTGTTTTTATTCATTGAGTTTAGATTGGCGATTGTCAAATTTTATGATGTGCAGCTGATGATGGCTATCAAATTTATTCTCAATTCGATCCTCGGCATCGAATCCATACTGTTTTGCTCCGCAACAACAAAGATTACGTAATTCTTATACGGTATACCCTTATGCGGTTGCGTTTTGAACGAGAGGATCCAAGTACCCCAAATGCAGGTTTTTTCGCATATTTTGCAATTGGCTGCTAGAGTTCGTGTTGCCTAAATGCTCATTTTGCGAGTTTGCAGTTTCGTGGCCTTGTGGCAGATAAGTTACAGTACTTGCTGCGATTCTGCTCTGTGACGAACACATGCCTATCATTCAGACATGCTGCACATTTGTACTACCTCCTCTACAACAGACTGTTCGGGTGTCTTGAATTGTAACATAGCAAAGGGGATCAGAAATGTGGTTGAAACAACTTCGACGCACCATGCACAAACGGAACCGCCGAAATCTCACAGGCTGTCACACATTACACTTTAGTCGACATACCTCAGGAAGGAAAATTGGGGCGCTTTTACTTCGCAAGGTTTATACGATGTCAAATCATTTTGAACGCATGAAAGCACGCCTTATATAGGACACTGTTTTGGTTCTGGCAGGGTTAACGTCAATTGGCGTTAGGGTGGTAGTGTGGGTGAGGGATGCAGCCATTGACGATGAGAGATTATGTAATGGCACTAAAATGGTTGGAAAATGCAGAAAAAAGCTGCTAATCAGCGGCAAATATCTTATAGCTTGTAGCAAAACTTCCCTCAAACGTTCAATCACCCAGGTATTTTCTAGAATGGATCAATTTTCGGGCTTTGGGGCTGCTCTCATCGCCTATCATCGCTTTTGGCATCCCAATTTCAAAATCACGGCAACCGCGACAATTTTGCCTGTTACTTCCCATAAACCTGTTTCGAAGTTGTATGGCATTGTTAGGTAATGTTACTGAGTAATCCTGCCATCGAAGTAAGGATTGACGCGAAAGGAATGGGTTTGGGGGTGGGGGTGGGAGACTTGTTGCAAAAGAGAAAAGAAACAAGGCATATAAAGGCCCCCCCTTCTAGGCAAATGTAGGTGAGACTCTTTTTTATACTGTGAAAAATGACATAGATCCTCCGATGCAAAGGTGAGCACACAGCGCAAGCAAGCTGGTGGAGGTGAGGGGTGGGTGGGTGGGTGGGTGGGCGGGGCTCAGGTTAACGTCAATTTGACGTTAAGCGTGCCAAAATCAAAATAGTGTCTTTCTTACTCATGTCTAATGCATCTATGGAAATCCCAAACCAAGTCAGTAGTCTTGGCCTTGCCTTGTCATCATTTTCCACCGATGTTTTCATACCTGTGTTTCTTCTGCTGCTTCCTCCTGCAGACTCCGTTTGATGCCGGCTCCTCATCTTCTGTTGAGATACTCCAGACAAATTTCAACCGAAATTTCGTTCCGATACTACTAGGCCGGGGATCTACCTGGGGAGGAGCAATATTCTTTGGATCAGAAGTTGCGTTCAGCATGGACAGATTTGTTCCCCAGTTTGATCAGAACTTAGGACCACCAACAGGAAACGAACAGGGCTCCGGTTCTGAAGTAGTAAGCCCACTGGGTGGAGATTTACCCCTCAGGCCCAATGGGAAGCTCATTTGCAGTTTGGCAGACACGACATTTTCTGGGAACAGTGCAGAAAACGGAGGTGGCGTTGCATGCTCACGCGTTAATATCCTATCTCTCGATTCTGTCATATTCACCCAGAATAAGGGCGCAAGTGGTGGTGGACTGTACATAGACTCGGATGGGGACCCAGAACCGCAGAGATTTCTCTTCCCTGTCCATTACGTCTATGGAAGTAACGTTGCGTTCAGCGGCAATTCCGCCTTTCGCAGTGGAGGAGCCATTTTTCTGCGCGTGAGCGCAACGGCTGCAAGCTTAAGCAGACTCGGAATTTCGCCAATCGGTGTGTCAATCACCAATGCAAATGGCACGAACAACAACGAGGACGACGTGTTCCTTGAGGACAGCACATTTAGCTCGAACGGAGATGCGGCCACTGGCGGGGCTTGGCATGTGGAGAGGGGGAGAGCAGGGTGCAGAAACTGTGACTTTGAGGGCAACAATGCTACTAAAGGGGGTGGCGCCGTCTCCTTGACTGTAAAGTCCACATTTCATGGGCGAAATGTGACGTTCAGCAACAATAGTGCCAATAGTGGCGGCGCTTTGATGGCTGACGACGCAGTAGTGGACCTCGTGGATGCACGATTTCTGAGTAACACAGCCAAGGACCTTGGCGGCGCAGTGCATGCTACCTCACCGCAGGATACGCTCGTAGCTTTTGGGTTATTGGCACGCATACAGTCATCTTTGTTTGCTGGAAACAGCGCCAGAGTTGGAGGTGCGCACTCGGATCATCAATTGAAGGACAATTTGAAATCCAATGTGTTTTCTTCTGCGACGCATCAGAAAACGGACACTGATGAATGCCAGCTATGCGAACTGGCAAAGTTCGCAAATGGTGATGTGCCAATTTCCGAGCTAAAATAACACCATGGCCAGAGCCTCCATTTAGTTGTCTTGTTAGAGTAAGCTCTGAGGATCTGAGTTCGTTGCCAGAGTTCACACGAATATCAATTTCAATAGATGGTCTGCACTTGGGCTCAATTATGTCTTGCTGTTCTCTGTTTGTTTTCTGTCACTCATGAGGGGCATCTGTAGAGTCATAAACCAATTCAATTTGAGCAAGAGTATCCCAAAATTGTAAGCTTATCTCAATAGCCATTTCATATGTTCTTTTTGTTTCAAAAAGTGTTCATATGATGTCCAAACATTTTAATCTTAAATTCTTGGAATTCTGTTGCTTTTGCAAATTTCAGCAACACAGGCCGCTCAATCATCTTTGCTACGATGTGTGACCTTACAAACTGTTCCTAATCATCAAATTGCATGGGAGCGGCTACAAATTTGTCTATGGGGCACCAACTTCTTTGGCGATTGCCATTCAGGTGGACTGTATTTCTTCATTGACATCGATCTGGAAGGCGAAGGTCAGACAGAAGACAATTTCATGGTCATTGCGAGCAGCAATTTTACAGACAACAAGGCGAATGACACCGGAGGTGCCTTGTTCACCAATGCACCTGATTCTTTAGATGTTCTTTGCAACTCTGACTTTGTTACAGAAATATCGGAAGGAAATCCAGACCGAGGACTGAGACCTACCGTGGTCAGGGCAAACCGACAGCCATCAAGAAGTGTCAACAATCGTACTTCCCTGTGCAAAGAGACGTGGCTGGGTAACGAAGCAGCGAGAGCGGATGGCAGAGACTTGGTGGCCACTGCAGCAATATTTGTGGAAGCATGCAGAGAGGCTTCTGAATCCTGTCCGTCTGGTGATGAAGGACTTCACATTGCCAACCACACCAGTGGCCTTGAATTGGAGCCCATCACTGTGGAGTTGATCGAAGCATCGGGGAGCCCGGCGTTTGGCCAGCCACCCATGCTTCTGCGGATCTCAAGTGATGGAGGGGATGCCGTTCTAAGGGGCAACACGCTCAGGGATGTTGAGCCAACGATGAATATAACAAACATTCGACTGCAGGCCAGAGTGAACAAAACACACAGGCTTACCCTGTCATTCGAGCCCGGGCTCTTGCCCAACGTCAGCGTCAGTGTGGATGTACGGCGCTGCCTTGCAGGAGAGATCCCCATCGATGGTGGTGAGAGATGCGGGGAGTGTCCTGATGGGCAGTACAGTTTTGATCCATCGGAAGATTGCATGCTGTGTCCAGACAGGGCAGTGTGTAGTCCATCCACCATCACCCCCGAGGAAAGCTATTGGCACTCGACTTCAAAGTCGACCCAAGTGCATCCTTGCATTGTCCAGAAAGCTTGCAGAGACGAAAAGCGGCAGAGCGTTCTTCAAGAACGAGCAAGAGAGGTCCACTCCAATGGAGCCCTGTTGGACTACGAAGACAATGGACTATATCCGCTGTGCTTTCAGGTGAGGCGCAGGTGCGTCAAAAATGCATTTTCTGCATTTAGTGGATAAGTAAATCAATAGATGAATATAATAATGTTCATGCTGGGTTATGTGCTACTAGCGTATATTAACCTAGTGGATTAATATGTGGAAATTTATATGCAACATCTGTGTCTTTGTTAGCCCCTCGACAGATTTGAAGGTGCAAATTGTTCAACGCCAAATCAATTGGTCGCTGGCTGCGAATATTTCATTGAATTTGGGCGTTTTTTGTGGAGAGGTGGTTCCGACTCCACAAGCAATATCCGGTACTGAAAATCCCGGTGTAGGGAATTTCCCTTGTCCTCAGTTGTTTCGACATATCGTGTGATCAAGAAAACAAGCCCATTACTATTGATACCTGTGTAAACTACTTCCAGCAAAGGTCAGACAGATATCGCTGATTTTTTTGTGTGCCCAGCTATGGCAGAAGAGTGTAGATGGAGCATGGTTTACCACTATACTTACAGTGCATCTTCATGTGACCCAGGGACATGCAGGAATACTATGTGGTGCGTGCGACAAAGACCACGGAAAAGTCAGATCTGGAGAATGCATTGAATGCACCTCCGAGACATGGAGCATATCAGCGACCATTGGAATAGCCATTTGGAAACTTTTGGAGTCAGCAGTGGTCATCGCCAGCGCTCGACCCAAAGAAAATGACGGCAGTCATAAGGGAGCTCCAAGGACAAGGTCCAAATCAGGTAGTGCTCATAAGGCTTCAAGATCGAGCAGCAATGTTGGCGATACTGGGTCGACGATAAATGATGGCCTGATGCAGGAGTTACCCATGCTTTTAGGTGCCCAAGTGGAGTCGGCGCACATGGATGATTCTGAGGAAAGAATCGGGAGCACGAGGAGCCATGTACCTGATATAATGAAGGTGAGGCTCTCGACACTGATGCATGTCCTTGTGTGGACTGTGTCTCTTATACAATCCGTCACCCGAGCAACGTGCTTATGCTGTAGATAGCTGAAAAATGCATGTCCACTACGGCGTTTCATGGGAAATTCACTGATGTATATCACTAGGGAAAAGGGCAAATAACATTGCCTCAAACGTGTACAGAGTTTACGGTTTTTGTGTTCTCAGCGTGCACGACGTTGATGAAATGCATTTCATTTGTGCTCGCGAAAAACGTTATTTGGTCCTTTCTTGCTAGTGCCTTGAGTTGTACTGCAGACTGTTTTGAAACAATGCCCTTTACTATGGAGTTGGCTTGACTAAATTTTGTTGTTTGCTCTGCATCAGACATCTAATTCACCAGATGACGACACCCCAGAATCAGAACAAAATGTAGACAACAATCTCAACGATAGAACGCTGCTGCACTTTGCACCAGTTCGTAGCAAATGACATTGAGGTCCGTTTGTAATTCTTGCACCTGCAAAGAAATGTTTTTAAGCACAAAATAGGCAAATGCATTGAGCGAGATCAAGGCTGATGCTTGCCTCAACGAGAATGGCAGCCGCACGTAGTTGTGCTTAGAAAATTGGTTCCAACACTACTATATATGCATATCGGGTCATCAAAGATGCCTCAAATGCAGAGCCTATAGCTGCAGTGTTGGTTTTCCAACAAAAAATTGATTAAATAGCTACAGGGATTTCTCGAGGCGAATTGTCTCGCCTCTTGTCCTCACAGCCAAGGTAAATACCAGAAACACAATGCAACTTGTTTTGCTATTTCCAGGTGATTCTCAATTTTCTGCAAGTGACAGGAGTTGCCGTTTTCATCAGCGCTGATTGGAGCGCCTTCGTGCTGTGGATGTTGGTGGCTTCAGGTAAGGCATACATTAGCGGCAAGGAAGGGGAGCTGGTATCACTGGCAGATGGACAAGCAGGAATATTGCTCCGAACAAACAGCACGGCGAAAAAATATTCGGGTTCTTAAGGGAAATTGTTCGGCTCTTGCTCTTGTGTATCTGTTGCCCATTAGCTCATGAACTCATTGCCACATATGTTGGATGTGGGAGCAAATCAGTGTTAATCACTTCGTTCTGGCTAAACAATCTCCTGCAGGATGCGGTCATCCTACCACATGGCAGGTTCAACTCATTCCACAAGCAATGGAAAGATATCTGGATGCAAATACCCTAAGTAATGTCGATTTTCAGGTGACTGACTGCAGTACTGTTTTTTTATGTCTGGGTAACGCAGTGGTCAAGCAAAACTGACGTGGATATAATAGGTGGAATATGCATTTTGGGGCACATTTGGATTGATCCCACCTTCGCCTTTTCAACACTAACTAGTAGCATGATACACACAAGAAAAAGATCACCTGAAGACACAAGACCAGGGTTGCAGTGACGGGAAGGGTCGATGAATGGAAGTTTGAAAGTATGGCAGCGGTTGCGGGTCTGGAAGATTTCAACTGATACATTTTGTGGACCTTTTGGAAGCCCAAAAGAATCCATGAAAAAACGGGAAACAATGCTTTGAAACAAGCCATGGCTCTCCGACACTGACACGCAGCGCTTGGGGGTCTTATCAGCTTTGGCTGAATTTGCGGCCATTGCGAGGTTCCGTGCGTTGCTCCCCATAAACACTCTTTAAAGCGCCAGTATGTCGTTGATCGTATCCAGACCGACACAGTGAGCTCCTTTACTCAACCCGTACTAACAGGAAAGTTCAAGCGCAAGCGTTTCCCGTAGATGTCGCATGAACGTTGCTGCAGACAATTCCCATCTTTTGTTGAATTTTCTAAAGAAATGAACTTTCTGCTTATCAATCCGCCAGAACGCGTGCTTCATGCATGTATATGACTAACTAACTACCTTACTAACTAAATTTCAGTCGTGATGATGCAAAGCTATCCCAATTGTCCTTGGTCCGACCTTCTGACGACCATTCAATTTTATTTTTCTATTTAACCACCGTTTGAAATGCAGATACACTGGCTTCGGGAAGCGAGGGATTCTTCTCTTTGGAGTGCGCGCTGCCGCTCGGTGGATCCGTGAACAGATCCGTTTCCAGCACAATTCTCAAGCTTCTATTCCCCTTCGCCGCCATTCTCTTCTTCATGTCGCTGTTCTCCATCAAGGCGTGGTGGAAAACTCAAAGCAGGGAACACGTGCGGCGGAACTGGAGTGTCTCAGCTATGGCGGTGCTCTACGTGTCATACATACAGATGGCTCGAAATGTGGTGAAGATTTTGGATTGCACAGATGCGGACAGAGGCGAAATAGGTGCCCCAGAGCACGCGGTCGCGCTTGCAAAATACTGGACAGAAGACACTGACGTGGAATGCTTCGAGGGCAGTCACCTGGGAATCTTCCTGGGTTTGGCAGTACCACTTCTGTTCTTCGTCATAGCTGGAATGCCCCTGTTCCTTTTTCTGCTTGCAAAATGGAGACAGGGAGGAGGCAGCGGCGAGGGCAAGCTCCTGGAGTCATACGATTTCCTCACGAAGTCATACAAGGAAAAGTTCCAATACTGGGAGGTATTCGTGCTGCTTCGAAAGGCGAGCCTGGCGGTCATCACAGTGTTCAGCTACTCGCTTGGACCCAATTTGCAGGTGACTCTGGCACTCGTTGTCATGTTCATCTCCATCTCTGGGCAACTACTCGTCATGCCGTTTGTGACCGACAAGTTGAACTGGATGGAGACGGCATCCCTCGTAGGTTCATCAGTTGCATTCTTCGCTGGACTCGTATTCAATGACCCCAACACCTCAGATGGAGGAGCAATTGCTGTTTCCGTCTGTTTGATACTTTCTTTTGTGGGCGTTCTCGCATATTTACTGTCTGAGCTGATAAGGGAGCTGTGGAAGCTGCTGGTGAAAGCAGTTGATCGGATTGTGGAGAAGGACCGCATCGCAGTCAGTAGCAGTGATAGCACGATGAAGAAGCTCACTTTGGTTGTCTCGTTCAAGCTGCAGGCTGCCTTTAAGCAGATATCTGGATTGCCAGCATGACTGCGATGCGGCATCATATGGTGAAACTGGCATGCATGGCACTTCGTGATCAGTTCTGGATCCACATTTGAATTTCTGAGTAACGATATGGATTGTGGCGATGTATTTGGTCAATATGGGCCTGTAAAACAGAGCGATGATGAAAGATTGGAATCTACAAGGTGGCAGCTCTGGTGTTAAGCTGTTCTCAGTATTTGCTTGCTGACTTTTCGTAGACAAAGGCTACATCACCAAATTTTGCCGAGCGGATTGCCGTTGTAAGTTTTGCTTGTCGAATTGTCCCGTTGATCCAGTAGAATGTTCGATTTAAAAGCAGATTAAAGCATATTTTCGTGATGATTTCTCATATACAGCCATGTGTGGGTTACTGTGTAGTCTTAAAACTGCATTGCAGAGGGGCGACCGTGACTGTAGCCTCGCCACCTGTGGTCGCCCATCCGTAACGACAGTTCTGCATTTTTTCTTGCCCATCGTGAAACCCCAGATGCGCCGGTCACCCTGCATGAGTCCCACATGACAACCCTCGGACTGCAAAGTTAACATGAATGCCCAGAAAAATCGATCCCAGGAGCGATCCTAATTCGAGTTATGTTGTCGGGCAAACAGCATAGAAATTCGATCGATTTTGGAAAATGGGCGACACAAGAACTACCGGGTAAGCGCTCATTCCGCACGCCTGAAGTACCCATGGCAGTGCAACAGACACGTGCCTCGCTTGTGAATTGAACACTCTTGTTACATGCCTTTGCCATCAATGGCAGCTTCCATCCCAACTTCTGTGACTGCCACACATGTATGCGTCCTTGCTATGCCTGAACGTGGCACCTGGGAATCGGCGGCGACGACTGGGGCGCCACCCTAGGATCCACTGACATGACACTGTATGGCAAACTCAAGGGCGTTTTCTGCTGAACACCATTCGGCGTTTTCTATTTGCTGAGGCTGCAAAAGGTATGGTATTGCTGAACAGTATGTTCCAACGATATCGCGCCATTGGTGTTATAGTGCGCTCAGCTTTGTTGTGCTGCTGTATCCACTGTTTATCTTAGAGGCCTCTCCAACATGCCTCTAAACGAAGATGAGCCAGGAAAACCCATGGCGCGTTCGATGCAATTATTGCTGGGGCGAGTCGCATTCAAGGCAAGCAAAACTTGCAGTCGAGCATCTTTGCCTAGGGAGATTCCTGTGTTACTTGATTAAGACTGGGCAAGATTGAGCCAAAAACATCGCAATGTGGAGCCGGTATTGTATATTTCTCGGATTGAGACCATAGTATACAATCTACAACAAGACCTTCTGCAATCAATCTGAATTTTGACAAGCTAATCCAATTGGTGAAAAGGAGAACATCGCTTGTCTAGTGCGAGCTGCGGGTGTAAAGACATAAATCACAGAGTCGATCTACCAGACATGAGCAAGTTGCAGAAGGTACAACAACCGCCTGCGCAAGCACTCGGGAGCCAACCAACCATATTCTGCAAACTCACTGTTGAAATTGCCATCCACGTCCCCTATTTGTCATCTCCATTTTGCCAAAATGGAGAGCAACAGCCCGCTACAAACCCCTCAGGGAAGGACGCATGGAAGAAGCTGAAATTTTACAACATTAGAAGCAAATTCGTCTCATTCCTTGGTGTCCTTTCAGGGACATCTAAGGAGAGAGCATGAGACAACCGAGTGCGGTGGTGATCTAAAGCTGAAGAGTGAGGCGTGGAATTCGTGTTGTCGGTTAAACGTGCACACCATCCGTGCCGCACCGTATCACAGTGTGGTATTGAAGTACGCCGCGCAAGTGCTGCATGAAGATGTCCAGGTGTGTAAAAACTGTCAATTTTCCAATGCACTTCAGACCCATGCCGCACACTACACGACCTCCACCAAACACCAGGCTTGTCAAATGAAGCAACTTCCGTAGTGCTTCATATTCGTCCAGGAAGACAGCACCATAGCCCCCCAGATTCAAGTTTTGCACGTTGACAAAATGTGTGCAATTGCGTCTCTGATGAAGGTTTGCCGGGCATGTCTGTGCAGGGGCTCAGGAATGTTGTAACTCCAGTTGCCCACCTCCACCAATATCTTTTCACCAGTCGACACGCCTTCATCACATCGCCATTGCAACTGCGTCTGTTGCCAACAACCATGCTTTCATTCCCACCATGGGCTCTGCCATTTTTCCCCTTTCCAAGGAACATTTCATGGCATCCAGCATACTGCAAGGCAGGTGTCCCCAATCAGAAATTGGGCCGTCTTCTTCCTTTAATCGGCACAAAGCATTCGCTACCGCATGTCCCTAATGCCCCAACACATACGCGATGATAATTGAAACAATTGGGGGGAATCAACAATTTCTCATTAGCGCCTTTCATCGCATTTGTTCTTGGATTCATGCTGCATTTGTTCTAGAGTAGAATAACTTGAGGGAGCTGTTGGAGTGCGATGAGCAACGAACTTTAAAACACAACTTCACCCAACTACCTCCTTTTAGCAAGTGCAACGAATGGATCTCAGCAGGGTAACCATTTTTGGGCACCAGCGGAGGGGGTGCCAACAACCAAATGGTGGCCATGCTCCATGTATGTCTTCAATCGTGTGCAACAACAGCAATGGCAACAGCTTCAACAGCATGCAGTGCAAACGCTCCTACTCTAGCAATTCTTACCATGGTGTATTCAACTCTTCCGCATCAAAAATTTTGCTGTTATGCTTTTTGCTCCACATTGATTTTTAAGGCGTCGTGTTTTATTTTTTTAAGTTTCTCTGCGCTAAAATACTTAAAAAGTGCTATGCATTTTCTCCGTCCAACGTTAGTTGTCGTCTATTTGAAAGGCTCCTGTCCGTGCGTGAGGCATGGCAAAGTCGTTGCTGCCCTTTCAACGAAGCATGACATCCATCGCATGGAAGAGCGCTTGCCAAACATGCTCAGGCATGCTTGGATCTTGATCATAGAAGGCCGTTGTCACAGCGTCAGCGATGTGCTGGATATCCCCACCCTCCTTGATCTCTGATGCACGGCCCTGCAATAAGCGAAAAACCCAAGGTTCAAATAGTTGAAGTCCAGGATCTGGGTTGTAGCCTTCCTTGGAGCATTCGGCCTCGATTGGTGTCTGAATCGAGGATTTGTTGTGCAGACAACAACATGCGTTTAAAAGTTCTTGCAAGCCTTTCTAATAGCAGGGAGCACTCTTTCCACCATAAGATCCCTCCACGCATCCCCATCAACTGAAACCAACTTCAATTCTGTCTCATCCGCATCTTGATTCTTGCTGTATCGAACAGCGACACCCTCCTTGACAAAGGGCCATATTCTAACGAGCTCACTAAACTGGGAGTTGTTTGGTCGCTTATCTGGCAGCCCAACGGCAGCCAAAAACACAACTTTCTGTATGAAATTTACGATCTGTGCTTTTGGAGCACCCACACGCCCACCTTCCGGCAGCACCCAAAACTTTTGCGCATCTTTCATCACATAGAACCACTTCTCATCAATGTCGATCGTGTTCGCGAAATCCACAAATCGCCACTTGCGCTCAACTTTGCGCGTATGCTCTACAATTCATCGTAGCCTCGCTACTCTCTGCTATTGAGAGAGACAAGGTTTTATCCATTGAGTGGTTCTTCTCGCACCCAAGCCTTTCAGATTCCAAAAAATTGCCAATTTTGGCAATCCTGTCCTCAAAGCCATTGATCACATCGTCCAACGCCTAGATGGGCTGATGCTCAACACCTTCTCTCGCACTCCTCACAGCTCTTGACAAGCCTCCTGCAGTTGCCCCCATGGCAGCGATGGGGTTCCAAAAAACCCCTGGCCCAGAAATCTGGGTCCGGAATGCACTTCCAATCCGTTGGATCGTTCTGTCATCGCAGCCGTACGCCATAGCGAGCTCGTCGATTAGGCCCTTCGGCGCCCGTTTTCTACAGCCCTGCCTCTTCACAAGCATCTCCCCGACCTTCAGACTGAGCGGCGTGGCCAGTTCTTCATAGACGGCCTTGCTTCGCCACCGCAAATGCAGGCTCCTCACCATCGCAAAAAACGGGCTGTTCTGGCCGCAATGCACCAAAACGACCATTTTCTGGCCAAAGGAACCCTGCTACAAACTACTGCCAAATCCTCAACACCTAATGAATTGACTTGACAGTATACTCTGAAAACATAAACACACCTTTGGTAAAATTTCTCTACAAACTGATGCTAGTACGATGGAGAAATAATGCCTCGAAATCATAGACGATAATTAACCTTGGATGGAGGAAGTATGTATCTTTTCTTCTGCAAAAAATTCCAGTAATTATGGTATTATGCAGAAGGGTTGCATGCCCTTGAAGTACTGCCGTACCAGCAGTGGGTTGTGCATGGTGCAAATTTGATTCTGGGGCCCAAGCAGACAATTTCATGGGTGCATTACGTGTACACATGATACACACTTGATGGGGGTGGAAGGTGGCTCGCTGCCAGCCATGGGCACCCATGATGAGGATTGTGGCTTACTCCTAGTAGGCACCACGGGTGTCTTGCCAACACGAGCGTTCCCATCACTAACGACAAATTGGCCAAATAACAATTTTCGCAAACATATGTACATGCATCTCATCAGTGTACTGCATGCTAAAAACACGAAAATAACCCAAACCCGTAAATTTTCTACACATTTCGACACATCTTATTTGGCCCTTTTTGCCCTAGTGGGCCCTTCTGCAGCTTTATGAGCTTGTGATATTCAGCGTTATTCCTTCCATCCCAGCATTTTAGCCATTTTGGCATGTTTGGCCTATATCCCACCCCACCCTACCCTACTTACCACCACCCACCCTCACTAGAGTCCCAATCTCTGGGGATGTCCCCGGATTTCCCGGGGACGGGGTGGGGGGACGTCACCGACCTGGGGTGGGGACGTCGCCACGTAGAGGGCGGTTTCCATCCCCATAGTCCCCATCACTGGGCGTCGCCAGACGTCCCCGAATTCTGTCCCTGCCTGGCAGAGGCCTCACGTCCCAGCATCCCC